CAATCTAAATTTCACTACATGCCAACACACACTACTGTCTATTATAGTAACAGTGCCATCTTTTATTGACTTTTTTCAGAACAAAGTGCAGTATCCAGTGTACATACTAACACATAAAAAATCAATGAAATCAAGCTCTGTTGTTGAAGAAAACACATCAAAGTAAAGTAAAGTAAAGTATTGAAACATTTGAGTTTTCAGCAGATAAAGCATTTTAGAGGAAAGGTTTTGATTAGTCAATATCTTGTCTGTAGCAGAAGCAACCTAATCATTATCACCTGAATACAATTTTTACACAAGTTTCTCAAAATAACTGGAAAACCATGGGATGCAAGTCAAAATTGTTTCACAAATGTATTTGTGTTGATTTAGTTTTGCAGACACTAGTCACTCCAAAATGTTAAAGTATATGTTTCATTTGAAAAAAAATTCAGATATATTAAAGGTTGTTTTAAGATGGCAAAAGCCAAAACTGTAAGCTCCACTGAAGTAGCCCTTAGATTAATGTCACGTATCAAACATCTGTATTTTCATTAGAAATGAGGTGATTAATGTGAACCTGCCTCTTACAGGTTGGACTTGTCTAAACATTGGGCAAGAAGAAAATGCATGGGTGCATAGCTACAGATTTAGAGAAAAAAAGATCACAGATGACTTATACTGCAGTCAAGGTTGCTTAAGACACCAGTGCTTTTCAAAGTATAAACATTCTCACAGTCAAAAAGACCCTCTGTCTTACCTTTGCTAGTTATTTTGAACTTTTCATATGGTGGAATGAGCCATTCCTTCTCATGATCTTTAAGTTTTGGGTATTTTTTTAAAAAGGCACCATAACAAGTTTCAATTTTAAAGCATGTCTTTTTACCAAAATTGGTCAGGTTTGATAAATTAGAGGAAGAAGTAAAAGTACCAAATCGAATTTCTTTGTTGACATCACCAGTGAACTTAGTTTTGGTTCTGCGGTATGTGATGTGACATCCTGGTTGTTTGAGTATCTGTATAACCCTAGTCAGCCAAAAATGTAAGGAATGGAATTGAAAGGATGAGCCATAGTAATTTCTCATGGTCTTAACTGCATTATTGAATATCTTATAGAAGTTTTCTTGTCCTCCAGCTGTGTAAAGACAAATTGCTTGCATGTGATCTTTTGTCAATGCTTCATCTCCTTTTTCTCTTTCCTTTAAGTTTCTTTGAGCACAATTTTCAGCTTTTGTCCAAACTTCTCCGAATAGCGTATTTTTTGCTTCATTTTTAAAGTATGTGTTCTTGACCTTTTCTTCCATCTTTGTAACACAGGTAGAGTACCTGTCATCAACTGATTCTTCAGCCATGTCTAATGGGTAGGACTGATCCTCTTCGCCAACAATCTAGAAGTAGAGAAAAAGTATAGAGAATAAAAAGCCAAGCAGGAAGGAAATTAAGTTTCATAGGTAGCATTTTTTATCTGCTATAAATAACATATATGCTCCACTATTGAAAGTAATTTAAAAAAAATAGTTGCACATTAACATTAAATGTACCCACCATAGTTTAATTTTGAACATATATGGAATTGTTTTGTATTTACAAATCTTAAGACAAACGTCGAACGACCAGGGCCAGAGTGGTAAATATTAATTTAACCTATACTCAAGGATTAAAAACATTTTGAAATAGTTTATATAACAATGTAGCACCAACCAAAATCAATTACCTCCTGCAGTTTGCAGCAAAGAAGCAAAAACAAAGAACCAAGGATAAACAATTTGGTATTCATCCTTGCAATCCTGTAAAGAAAAATATACATCCAGAAAAATAGAAAATCAACATTAATCATTGCAGTGAACTGACATAAGTAATATTATGATTCAAAAGCAAAGTAACTCCAGCAGTTGTTAGGTTAATATGCAATCAGAATCATCTTACATGTATTGTATGCTGTCGTCTTGAAAGATTCTGTTAGAGGAAGAAGTGCAGACCAACCTGATCATTATTTGCAAAGTGGCTGCTGCTTAAATAGTCTGCTTTCTATAAAAGCACCACCCACATGTACATCCTCCTGTCCTTTTTTACCTTTCTTTTAATCCTCCTTGGTGCTCTTTAAAAAGTAGACATAGGTTCTTGTCCAGCTTCTTATGTCACACATAAAGTTGTAAGTATAGTTTTACATTTTCTTTTCTGTTTTTATGTGTTGTCCTGGTAGACAGAAAATTCAGTTTTTTTTATTTAAATTAACCCAAAAATCTTCAGCCACTCCATTCAGTTCTACTATAAATTCAAAAGAGGTGGACATATGTGCGAGTAACCTGTCTTGCTCAAAAATATAACTTAAAATCTTGTAATGCAAGACACATGTTGGTTCAGTGCTGAGAGAAGAACATCAATATGGCATATAAGAAGAGAAGTGAAAGACGTTTTTGTTTGTGCACAGAAGCACTGAATTATTTCTTATCATATGCCTGTTTTAGTCAATATCAGTTTCTAAATCTAGTAAATTATTTAGTGCATGTGTCTAACTTGAAGGCAATGAGCTGAATCTGGCCTTAAGAATGAAAACACTGGGAGTGTAGCTCGAATAAAACATAAACTCTGTTAATTAAATGATAAAATCACAATTTGTTTTAAACAGCTGTGACCAGCCCTTTTAAAGACTTAAGCCAAAGTCACATTGAATGCAGTGCAGGCAACGCAAGGGACCGTAATAATCTAAATCAGTGTGCACACTCACATCGGCACTTGTGCAGAGTGGATGCAGTTATTGAGGCTGTGTGGATCACACGCCAAACAGGAAATTATATGAATATAAATTTCCGAACACAATCAACCAATCAACCCACACTAATTAGACAAGAAAGCAAAAGGGAAACAGAAGGGCTGTTGGATGATGGAGGGATTGTATATGCACCAATTAAGAATGTAAACCTGCTTAGAACTTCTTTGCTCTTGACCACCATTTCTGCAGCTGGAGCTGCAGTAGGGAAAACGTGGTTGCAGTATTTAGTGTTAGTGACTTTCAGCATCCTGCCTCCCCTGCTGATGCAGAGTGATCAATATGAGGCCGGTGTTATTCTCAAAGCGGCCAAATACAGAAATTAATTTGACACCCCTGCTGTAATGTTTTTAACCATTTTACCTGTTGTAAGTTTTCCACTACAGAATCTACATATGCAATCTGTATATGTTTCACCTGATTAAAAAAAAAACAAGTTAATTGTTTTAAAGAAGGAAATGATTTTAAAAAGAAAGTAATGCACATTTAACCGTAAAAGTATCTTACCTACAGGGATTCTCTTTATATGATATATTAATATAAAAGGGTGGTGTGCTAAACAGATCTAAGTTTATTAATGACTGTAATGACATCATGCCAAATTAATCTGGGTAATAAAGTGATCTTGTTCTGCTTGACTTAACCACAGTTTTTTTTTTTTTACAGTAGGCCACAATATTTTATCTTGTTTACAACACCAAGTGGGTTTTTCTGGTACAACATAAAACTTCTAAAGTTCCTTTTTTGTATATAGATATTGTCTGTTAGAATTGTACATTCTGAATCCTCCTTGGCTCAATTGTCTGACCCTTTGATGTTCATTCTTAAGAACCTTGCTTTTCTACCTTTATCTTCTCCCTTTGACTGCAACATCTGTAATTGTTAAGCTAACAACACAAATACATGCACGCCTCTAACAAGAGACACAATTTCACTTCTTTTTTTGTTTAACAGCACTAATGACTTGTTTTTATGGACAGTAGGCTGAAAGGAAAGGCAGTATGAGAGAGAGGGAAAGACATGCAGGAAAGGACAACAGGCCAGATTTGAACCCGGGTTGCCCACGTTGAGGACTAAGGCTAACCACTGCGCCACCAAAGCATGCCCCACTCCAGGCACTTCTATCATGATTTAAACACATCAAAGCCTGGATTCTTGTAAAGGTTTTTCAACTATGACAAAATAAAAGTGATTGGTGTGATGGTGTTTGGTCCTAAAGCAGACAGTAAAAGCATTTCCATCAATGTTATTTTATGTGCATTTCAAATTATCACATTGAAATAACTAAATAGAGACAGTAAAATTCAAACGAAGTTCACAAAATTTTTTGTACAGAATTTAGTATAGAAATTTTAATGCTTGCTTGAGGTGATTTTTGACGAAGAAAAAGCTAAGAGTAGATGGAAATACATTTGTCCAGCAAAATGTAGAACAACGGACTGCAGTTTTTTTTCTATTTCACATTTCTGTGCCAAATTAAATATAAAGAAAATGAATAATTAGCAAATTAAAATATATTTTTTAAACATTGTTTTGGGCTGTAAAATAATGATAGTTTAATTAGGCACAAGTAAAAGAACAATTAAAACCACCTTACAGTTTTGCAGTCCTCACAAAGTTTTTAGCCACTTAGTAATTTATAGTGGCAATCTGCTAATCAGTGGCAGATCACATTGCAAGCAAGATGAATGGTCCCTAGATTTATGAATTCACAAACTCCCAAAAATACATCTTGCCAGGAGCCAGCAGATATGTTTGCCCTCAAAACAAAAATGTTTCTGAACAGTGAAATGTAATGGCGTGTATGACATCACCGTGACAAACACAGGCTAAAAAGCTGAAGTAAAACAAACATGGCTGCGCCAGTTTTAGCTGGAATACCCTCTATTTCTTTGTGAAAGACAAGCAAAAGGACACAATTTTTTTGGGGAAAAAAAATTTCTACATGAGCCTTCCCAGATTAATATGTTGTAGTATAAATTAAATGTGTAAATCTAAGTGTAATTCTGGCTTTTGCTGGGTTAGCATAACGGTACATTCACACAAAACACGGTGACTGTGGTTAGATTTACATAGCAGTCCTTTGCAAACCGTGTTGACAAGAGCAGTGAAGCAGACCGTGTGGAATTCCTCACAGTGAGAGCAGTCACCATAGATCTGAGCTGCTGCGAAAGAGCTGCACAACATAGGCAGAGTAAAACGGTGAACACTGCACTAACAAATCAATTTATTTTATTCAAAAAAAGGCAATTCACAGCACATCTCAAGTTTACATAGACAAAACAGTCAGACTGGTTGAACGCTTCTGTTAAGGAAAACCATTTGAGTTTGAGTCAAGACATCCTTCTCCTGGACAAGCTTGCGGCAATGGTTTTC